CAGGCCGTAGGAATATCCGTACGGTTTGACGGGGTTACGGTTAGCGAGGAGTGCAAGCGGCAAGACGGAAGCCAATAGGGGCACAGGCCTGCTGGCATCACCACCCCGTTGTGCTTTGAAATGGAGGGAGGGGGTAAGGCTCTGAAATATTTCGCGTTGGTTTTTTTGAAGTGGGGTGGTGCGGTGCCACCTGAAATTTCAGGGTTTTGGCCGTGATATTGACAACCAGGACATTTCAAGCTAGCTCGTCAGCACGGGGGAACGTGTTGTGGGAGGTGGTAGAGGAGCGCGTCCTGGCCCTGAGAATACTCCCTCAACCCATGCCCTGGCTTTTTGCTCAGGCCACCACTGGGGCGATGTACGGCAGTTGAAGCAGGTCGGTTGGTTTTTGTCTGAATACTACTAGGAAAATGCTGATATTCCATTAAACGGCGCCATTTGCAAGCTCCAGGCATTGCCAGGCAATATTTTCCTGCGACGTCCTGTGAGGCCGCTACATACCTACCTCCTAGTCGCCTGAAATTTCACAGCACCTCCCTCTCCCCCAACGTTCTAAACCCAAATCCTGAAATGGATCCTGCTCCGGAGTCGGGGGGGGTCACCCCCCCCGCCCAAGAACGGAGTGCGCACTTGGGTTTGGCGTGGTGTACGTGTTGGGAGACTGCATTCTTCTTGGAGGCCCTCGCAGACCTTTTTTCGACTCGATTTCCAACTAAACTCCCTGCGGTGCGACTTGTCAGCTGGGCGGGTGGGAAAAAAGAACGGAGTGGTGATCTGCTGGCGCGATCCGTGGAAATGGCCGTGGCGATCCGTTACGGCGTTGCCGCGCTAGCTTGATTGGAGAGCCCTCTGCCGTCGGAGGTCCACCAACACCTATCAAGCTGGGAGCTGCCAGAATTGAAGGGGGCGGCAGAGTACGGGCTGCAGCAGGGCAAGCTCAAGTGGACCAGCCAGTCAAGGGGGTGGGAAAGAGGAATGACAAGCCTCAGCGCTGTCCGGGCTCCATCGAGGGCAGTTGTCCAGCCAATGCCCGCGCCCGGTGGAAACACATACCCATCTCGGCGAGGTCGGCAAGGTGCCCGGCACAGTTCAGCGAGGCGCTGGCCGATAAGATCGTGGTGCACCTTTGCGAGATGGGCCGCCTAGAATGACCTCCCCTCGCCAGCGCATCAAGCCCTTGCCATGAGCGACGCCCGGCTCCGCACTGTAAACCGGGCCGAGGTGAGCACATCATGCAGGGATTGAACGTGGTGGGGCCGTGTCTTCTCCGCTGCGCGAGAAGTGGGTCGTCAGGTCCCAACCCTTTTGTCGACACCTGCTGGTTGGACGGAAATGCTAGCTCAGCAACCCACAACAGCGGAAAAGATCACCCAGATCTGCAGTCAGGCTGCGGCCTCCGGCGGACGGTGCCATGGCTGACCTCCAGGTTCACGAACTCCAAGCGCAGCTGTTTGCATGTTTAGTATTTTGGGATTCAGACTGGTCTATTTGGGACAATACATCGTTTCTGTTTTCTGCGGTTTCGGAAAGTTTTCTTTTTCCAAAACACAATGTTTTGGTTTTTGCCGAAACTTTGGTACTGTCACGGAAACTGGCGAAGATTCTAGACAGCTACATGTACGATGCAGGCGGTTATTTTTCGTTCGCGAGCATCAGCCCTGGGACATGCGAACAGCTCGTAGCTACCGCGAACGGAGAACAGTCCCCGGGCACCCTGGAACACAGCGAGCTCCGGAGTCGTTTCGGCACTAGAGTCAGTCACAAAGCGTGTGTCTTCAATATTCAGCCAATAAAGCTCTTTATTTCGCCGTTGGTCCAAAAGAACGACAAGAGTTCCCACATTGTTGAACTTGAAACAAAAGGGCGTGTGTGTTAAGAGGCAACAAAGAGATTTTTTCGGCATCAACAAGAGCAAACGTGTGTTCGTTACCCAGTATTTTTCTTCTGCCAGCATAGATCACGACGACCAAGCCGACCACGATCAGCAGGACCACCGGGACCGCAGCGACCGTTCAACGACCACGACGACCCGGCCGACGTAGGACTTTGGCCAGAACACGATTTTAGTTTTTTAAATGAAATGTGAATCGCGGCGCGAAGTTGTCGGGTCGACGACCCTCACGGCCCAGTAACCTATCCCCTACACCTACTGTGCGAGCCCCATGGTGCTGCACTGCAGTCTGTAGCAGCACCAAGCCACGCAGTTTCGGGAACACGGCGAAGAGTTTTCATCATTAGCGACGACGCTGCCGAGCAGAGGCGAGGCGTGCTGGCAATCGTGGCCTTCATTGCCGCGATGGTGCTGGACTCCTGCTTAGAGGGAGTGCTAGCACGCGGCGTGCATCAGGCAGGTGCGGTTCAGCAGTGCCTCAACCAGCAGGCCGTGCAATGAGCAGTTCGGTCCTTGTTCATTGTTCGAGACATGTGAGTAAGGACAACTGGCAGAGGACTGACCGACGGGACTGCGACATGTCTTCGATCTCCAAAGTTCAGGCCATGCACTGAAGGATCAGCATCTTAGTCAGCTGTATGCTTATCGTGGGCATGCTGCTCATCACCTCGGCCGTGAGGGCAGACGACATTCCAGAAGCTTGGTGTTCATTCCACTTAACCATTAGCATTGCAATTCCCGAGACTCGCTGCCAAGGAGATCCTTGACTGGAATTCCTGCCTGACGATTGGCTGCGGAGAGGCGATTTTCATAGCCATTCGCCGCAGCGGTTGCTTGACAGATCAGACGATGTGTGTTTTCCAGCAGTTTGTTAGGACACAGCTGAGCCAGGATAGATACATCACGCTTTCACTGCGACTTGTGACATGTTGCTACAGTCACCCAGGGCTTTTGACGGCACTGGCTAAGCTCATTGCGCAGATCGGCGCAATCGGAGGCCGGAAGAAGGGCTTTCGTGATTGAGGACTCATCAAGCCAGTTGATGCGTTGCCTTTGCGGCCTTTGTGTTGAGGATTCGGCCCCAGTGAAGGTTCAAAGAGCAAGAAAAAGAGCCCAACGCACTGGCCCCACCCGACAATCCTGCGTTTTGCTGCTAGCATCAGAAGGTCCGTCATACCAAAGAACGGACATCTAGAAAAACGTAGAATGGCTGCAAAAAATGGATGTGTGAAACCAACGTCCATTTCAGTCGTATTTCAGAAATCGAGTGTTTCTTGAATGTGGGAATGCATCCATTTTTTGAGGCGGTGTCAGCGAACATGGGCCTTGGTGTCTGATCAAAGTGTGCCGCTCAATGCCTATGTTGCAGGGAGCAGTGAATCCCAACATCCGTTTCACATCCATGTTGCTGGGAGGCGTCAATCCCGACATCCATGTTTGCAGGGCATCGTAACCGAACATCCATTTTCCACATCCATTTTCCCGGGGGCCGTAACCCAACGTCCACTTTTCAAGCATCCGACCAACATCCATTTTTACATCCATATTGTCTCGCAAAATGGATGTAAAATGGATGTAGTGGATGTTGGGTTCCGGCCCCCGGGAAAATGGATGTGGAAAATGGATGTTCGGTTACGGCCCCCTGCAAAAATGCATGTCGGGATTGACGCCTCCCAGCAACATGGATGTAAAACGGATGTTGGGATTCACCCCTCCCTGCAACATGGCTCTGGGCTTCGTCCTCCCCATGCGAAACTGTGAGCTGCGCGCACCTACCCCTGCTCCTGTCCCTCCTTTCCCTCCCGACAAAGTAGTAGCATAGCCGTTGAGCCTGACCATGACAAATTAGAAGCCTAAGTCTTGCACCGACAGGCGCAGAACGAAAAGAGCACCGTGACAACATTCAGTTCACGCCCCATTTCCAGCTCAGAGTGTTAATGGCTGATCGTTCAACATCCATTTCCAACATCCATTTCTATGCTCCCAACATCCATTTCCCTTATCTGGGCTTTGCAATGCGCGAAGTCAAGCAGTCATGGAAGGCAGCCCCTTGCAGCTCTGCATACTGTCGATGACAGCGCAGCTGGCGACTGCTTGCATCTCCCCAACACCGGCAGGCCAGCTTGCCAAGCAAAGACTTCGGTCACATTGACACATTGTGATTCGCTGCGGCGATGTGCAGGCCTGCTTATCGCAAACGCAGCGCTTGTGACGGACAGCGAGTACCACCAGTTGAATTCGAAGCTACTGGTCCATGATATGAATATTGGTGACCGTTGCTGATCGTTTCGGGTATCAAGAGCTTCACTCCTCTACTTTGAGCGACTTGCCGTGCTTTCGAGCATCCAGGCAGCTCGTCGTTCTGGTAGCTTGGCAGAAGCCTCTGGAACGGGATTCCTTCATTTTTGGACTTGGGTGGAGCTTCCTGGTCTTTGCATATGTTTGGAAACTTGGACCTTAGGTCATGATCTCGTGCAACATGGTGCTGAATGTCCAGATGCCAGATGATCTCATGCGTGGGAAGAAACGGAGTTTTAGTCGCTTAGATCTCGTTAAATCGTGGAAGCGTTTGGTGAAGTGCAGTTTCCCCATATGGTGTTTCAAGGTGTTCGCCACTTGCTGTTTTGGCAACTTCCAGCTGCTGCTTTGGTCATGGTGCTGACCGTGGTGTGGACACTCGTGTGCTGAAGCTGCACTTTCGGCAGGGCTGGCGAGCATTGTAAGTTTCGAGACGTTCAAGATCGTGTCTGCCCAGGTTCTATCTGTCATGAGCCCCATAGACCGCCTGGCTTTGATGATCTATGCTGGCACAAGAAGAACAAGCAAACGACCAAGTCATGCTCTGGGAGGCCTGTGTCTCCTGCGCGCATGAGCTTCAGAAGAACGGTTTCTCTGAAACCACAGGCCCTGTCGATCTGCGCGGACACACGGCCCGACGGCCCTTGCAGGCTTCCGAAGACCGAGTAATCGGGAACCGAGGTGCTGTCGCTCTCTCTCGCTTGCGAAGGATTTGGAAAAAGAGGGGCTCTCGCATCTAACGTATGCTGAGGACTGGCATCTAATGATTGAAAATTGAATGCCAGACGTGCTTGCGGGACTTGCTGCCGAGGTCGGCGCAGCGGCCACAGGCAAAACAACGATGCTGGGGTCGCTGATACAGGCCCGGTTGACAGCACTCATGCCAGAGAGTGGCTTCGGCGTGTCACCGGATGTGTCCGTCACACAGGAGAATGATCCAGGGCAGATGTCCAACTTCGAGGAGCAGAGGCAGATTCCTTCCCGGTTGTCGTGGTTGTCGTGGAGATCCTAGAGTTCCAAGTTTCTTGCGGCAGGAACAACCTTATGGTGCATCATCAGTTCCAGGCGAGAACGGCTTCTCCCTTCTCTGCAGCACAGGGTGAAAAGTCGGACTCCGAGTCGAGACCCTGCCAGATAAGCGGCCGCACGCTGAAATTCCTGGATTGCTCCGGCAACGACCGTGCCGCGCACTTGGTGAAGGCCGGGGGATGCCGGGGCCGCCGGGGTTTTCCAAGCTCCGGGCGGGCAGGAATGGTTTGCTCGCACACAGTGGGTCTTCGTGGTCTACAACTTGACCGACACCAGGCCTCACAGGATGTCTCGAGTCGCAGGGAATGAGACGAGTACATTCTAAAGGTCCTACGAAAAAGCTTTGACATTGGTTACGGAAGCCCGGCAAGTCTCATGCTCAGTCGTCTCTGCGTCCCTGCGGATCCAAGAGATGGTTGACCCAAACCGGGAAGACTTGTCCGATTCCATCGGAAGAGCGGGAAAACGCCGATCTCCTCAGGCTGGGGCCAGTGTCGTGCTGTTTGCCAACAAGTTCGTGGGCGCCTCAAGCATCTGCAATCAGATCTGAGGTCTGAGGTTGCCGCTGAGTCAATGTCTCTGGCTGATTCCAAGGATGTCAATCAGGGCAAACCAGTCGAGGTGCCAGCTTGTCGAAAGCATGACATTGGAAAACACTCTTGCGCTACTGCAAGTGCTTGCCCTAAGCCCAGACTCATTGGCCAAGACTACTCTATCACTTACAGCATCGGCGATGTTATACCAGACCAGATGCTTGTTGTGCAGCCGCAGCAGCGGGCCGTGACCGTCATGAAAACAAACGCAAAATCATCAGACTAAGTCTGTTTGAGTGGCTGGCATGGTAGTGACTGTCTGGACAATTATTCCAAACAGCAACGAGCAGCATGCAAGACATCAGCTACCGAAAGCAGCATGAAACGAAAGAGAGGCACACCCGCACGTGTGCACGCATTTGCAAGTTTATCTGCTGGTGACTAAATTGGTTAGCAGCAAGGATACAGACGATGTCGATGATGAAAATAGTAACGAGAATGGAATTTCGTGGCGCCACGTATGCCAGATGTAAAGAATTGCACGCGAAAGAAATGAGATGATCCGTGAGGGGTGGGGTGCAGCCCCACTTCATGACACCGGGAATCATCCCGCACGCACGCACGCACGCAAGCAAACAAACAAACAAACTGCGAAAGTACAGCGTACTCAGATTTTGCCCAAACAACACTCTAAAGTATGATGTGCACGGCTCACTCAGCCCTAGATCAAAGTAACCCTGAAAGTCACAGAGCGTGTCTTTCCAGGATCGCACAAAGTGACCATGTGGTCTTGAGCCATGACTGTGGCAGGGTCGTAAAGTTGGGGAAAGATAGATAAAGTGTTATTTCAACACGCCTGCTTGAGATTAAAGGTATCATATTTTAGTCTCACACACAAAGTATAACATGTACGAGAAAGTAGAAGCTCACAGTTAAAGTCTGAGTCAGGGCTTCGGAGAAAGTTGTCTTCTGCGTCCATTGCACAAGTCGTCACGCAACATGCCTCACATCTACAGCACAAAAGTTGCTTCGAAGAAAGAAAGAAAAGTTCGTGGTGCTCGTCAAAGTGGCGCGGCTGTTCCACGGTACATCAAAGTACAGCGTGGGAGCGGCACAGCAAAGTGCAGCGATCAGCTGGTCGGCCCTCCCAGCTCTCAAGGTCTCTTCTTTCTCGCTAAACCTCGAACCCAAAAGTAGGAAGATGGCGGCACAAGGTATGGGATGTCCGCCGGGCCTGAACATAAAGGGGCCGAAGTTCTACATGCTTGGTTTTGCGGTTAGCACCAAAACGCGACGCAATGCTCTTACCAACATTGCTGTCCTTAAAAACACACAAGCTAGCCTTCTGGGAAAGCTTGGATTCCTCAACAAGGGATCTCACGAAAAGTGGGTCTGCGGTCCCAGACCCAATCGCGTAAAGTTAAGCCTCTCCGCTCGAGAGGGCCGCAGTGGCCTGGGTCCTGCTGTGCGACAAAATGTTCGCGCCGAGCACGGGCAAAGAGACTCCTGAAGTGGACCGGCGGGTGTCGTGACACCCTGCCCAGTCACTATCAACATAAATGTTGATGTCTATCGCTTTGTGTTGTGGCGAAAGGGAAAGTGTCGGCTGGAGTTTCTGTGTAAAGTCCTTGGTCCCAGCAGGGTACATTAGCAGGTGTTTCACCTTAGCTTCGTGCTCCGAAATTGCAGCGGGAAGTCCTCGACTAAGCTCCTTCACGGCGTACATGATGTCAGGGCGCACGCTCGAAAGCCACAAAAGTTAACCAACGGAGCGCCTGTAGCGCTTGTGCTCCTCAGGTTCCAATTAAACGTTCACAGTCAAGGTTCTTCCTCAAAGCATGAGACCCGGGCGCAAGTGCCTGGCGGCACTGCTTCAAACCATAAAGCTCTAGCATAGCATCAATGTAGGATGGGCTCTTCCCACAGAGATGAAAGTTGATGTCCTCTTCAGGTTTCGGCCTAAAAACATTTTTTTTCAGTGTCACCTCCGTCCAAAGTACCTGTCACCTTGGGCAACAAGTCCTTCTGAAGGTCCGAAATAACAGTGGGAACGTCAGCCTTCGAACCAAAAAACATCACGTCGTCCACGTAGGCTAGAACATAAAGTTGCTTGCTCTCGTGAACGCAAGGGTTTGGGCCTGACTTCATTCGCGAAAAGCCGTTCTTCTCCATGACTGAGGCAACTTGCTGTTGCCAAAACTTCGGGCTGTGCTTAAACTTAAACCCATAAAGGGCTTTCTTAAGCTTCCACAAAGTGCGGTTTTCTGGGTAGAACTCCAGAGGCGGCATGATATAAAAGTCTCCATCCACCAAAGCGTGAAGAAAGGCAGTGGATATGTCTCCTATGGAGCTATGCCAACCCTTAGCTACAGCCACAGTCAAAGATAACCGAAGTGTGGTCAAGGAAGGGGTCGAGGCGAAAGTCTCATTTTTGTCCTCAACGTACTCTGTGTACCCGCGACCCAAAATCCTACAACGTACGCTGCCATCAGGTTTGCGCACTTTAACCCACTTTGTGGAAATTGCACACTGCAAAGTTTCCTGAGAAACCTTGTCCACGGAGACTTCTTCGGAAATGTCAAAGTCTCTCATAAACTTCATCTCCTTTGTCATGCCTGCAGCTTCCTCTTCACGAGTGAGCTCCGTCTGGTACCATATGTGCGGATTCTCAAGTGTCTTCATCAACAAAAGTTCTTTCTCATCTTGATTCACCGACACAGGCACCTTCAAGTCTTGCTTGGTCGTCACTGCTGCAACTCGAAAGTCACACATGCGAAACCTCTTTGGGGTTTTGACAAAAGTCACGCTTGCCACTCTCTGCACCTTCGACGTACCAACAGGCAAAGTCCCAGAAGTCCGCTTGGTCGGAGAAGCGGGCGCCTCCTCAAGTCGAGGCCGTGTAGCCGCTGGTTGCGGCAAAGCTGTTTCACTGCTCGAAATGGCTGACCTTGAGTCTGTTGATCCAAAGTGACATGTGGCGGCTCAAAATTTTCACTTTCACTCATGGAGTTCCAATCCGAAAGATCATCTCTCGGTGGAATCGCTTCTGCCGCTCCGTCAAAGTCGTCGCCAAGGGCGTGTTCAACTTCCTGCAAGTCACCAGGTGCAAGTGGCTCAGACTGCTGAGGTTCTTCAGCAAAGTTCGAAGGGCCTGGTACAGTCGCCTCCTCGGACCGCTTGGCTGGAAAGACAAAAGTGTCCTCAGCCTTCCAACCAGTCGGGCCCCAAGGGCGCGCAGAGATCGATTGTAAAAGTGCCAAGTCAGCTTGGCAGGAGGGCGGGTGGCGCTTGACACTGCGTGCCTTAAAGACACCCGTACCGTCAGCAACAAAGTGCTGATCTGACTCTGTGTCTTTGCCCAACCAGACTCCCGAAACAAAAGCTGCACGACCCTTCACAGGGTGAGGCTTGCGGAAAAGCACAGTTTAACCAAGCCAGAGTAGCGCTTCCTCCAACGTCGCTCAAAAGCTGTTGTGCCGTCGGCGCTGCAAAGGTAGCGATTCACAAGCCATTGCGCATGTCGGACCAACCAAGTGTAAAGCGCAGAGTGCACCGAACGGTGCACGTCATGACGCTCAAGGATTTCAAAGCGCAGGGCCTTGATCTGTCCGTACAAGGTGGCTTGCATATTGCCAACCGTGCTTTGCGCTTGCTTCCATCCGACAGGAGTCGAACGAAAGGAAAGTCTACCGACTTCACAGTCACCGAAGTTGCAATTGCGCGTGGGGGGGGGTGCTCGGGGTCACATTGCAACACGCACCGGTTTCAAGCACAGAGCGTCGCACCTCAGCTTGTGAGTACGCTGTGCGCGCCTTGGTGGGGATCACAACAGAAAATGCCATGCCCGAAAGGACATCGACAACGTTCAAAATCGTGATCTGTTCCTCACCAGGCTTGTCGCCAAGAAAGCTAAAGTCCATCTGCAGCACAGACTGCTTCGCGGAAAGTCTGCGACTCTTGGCCTGTTTGCTTTTTGCATGCGCGCAAACTTCACGCCACGGCTTGAAAGGCAAGTGCGTCAACTCGTGTTCAAGGCGCTCCGTCAAAGTTGGCTGGCTCACCGAACAGTTTTAAGCCGCGCGGGCGACGCGAAACGTAGTCAGGAGCTTCTGGCTCACACTCAACAAGTTGCAAGTCTGCCTTCTCAAATCAAGTTGCGCCAACAAAAGGTGCGCTGACCAAAGTTGCGCCGTTCTTGCGCCAAACGTCAGTGCCAAAAGGGCTCGGCTTCGGTCTCAGGGCGCACAGCTAAAGTCATGCGACCGTTTCCAAGCTGCTCAAAGTGAGAGTCTTCCGGCACAAAACTCGTAGTGCACACGCGCCCAGCAAGACGGAAAGTCAAGCCACAAGTCGTGCGTG